GCCTTCTGCGGGCCTGGCACGGTGCCTGAGATGTAGCAGATAGTACGTGTGTGTTGAACTAGTGTGCTCTCTTGGATACGGAAAAACAGGGCCTGGTGACTACCAGAGGACAGAGCAGGAGGCTGAGAGAGCGCAGCCTGGCAGGTGGTAAGTACAGCGAGTTCTCAGTGTAGACGCAGGGTTACCAACAAGAGGAAGGGCGGTCAGAGGGCTGGGGTGGGGAATACCGGGGAGGGGCCGCAGTCCTCAGAAGTGTCAGATGCTAGGGTCCCTGTGGCGGGGGGTTAGGGTAGCACTTGAGGTTCCAGCAAGGCAAATGGCAGGAGGAAGCAGGGCCCCGGTCCTAGAGGCAGGTTAACAAGCAGGGCCCTGCTGGAGAAACTGAGGCAGAAATAGTTGAAAGAACCTGGGATCCAAGATGACAGCGGAGACAGTTCTTAACAACCCAAGTCAGGACTCTGCATGGAGACCAGGCGCGGGGCTGAGCCTCCCCAGCGTGGGGCCCGCACTGCCAGTGGTGGACACCAGGCAGGGCCTGATAAAGCTGGCTCCCAAGATTAAAGTAACACAACGAATGGGTTCCAGAACTCTCTCCTATAAAACGCTTCTTAAGAGTGACATCTAGGGGCACCTGGGCGGCTCAGTCCTTAAGCTTCTGCCTTCGGCTCAGGTCATGATCCCAGGGTCCTGGGATCGAGCCCCGCGTCGGGCTCCCTGCTCCGCGGGAAGCCTGCCTCTCCCTCTCCCACTCCCCCTGCTTGTGTTCCCTCTCTCGCTGTGTCTGTCTCTGTCAAATAAATAAATTAAATCTTAAAAAAAAGAGTGACATCTAGGGGCAAATGCCTTTTAAGTGTGCTCATCGAGCCACCTGTTTCACATAGATGTGCCTGGGAAGGTATTATTTGGTTTCCCTGGTTTCTTTAGCTTTGTGTAACATACATTTGCTCAGTGCCTACTGTGTGCCAAGGACAGGCAGGCACTGCCCCTCCACCCTCTCCCCTCTACTCTGCCCTCTCTCCTCCACGACCCACTGAGTGCTCACTATGCCTCAGGCCCCACAGGAGGGATTCAGGTCAGACGTGGCGCAGCTGCCACAGACTCACACAGACAGGGATATGCTGTCCCAGGTGCAGGGAGGGGGCAAAGGATAATGCCAGGGCCCCCACGTAGGAGACTGCTTGGAGGAATGACATGGAAGCGGAGACCTGAAGGGTGTCCCAGGGAGAAGGCCACCGCGACCCCGACCGAGTGAGAGAGTGTGGGGAGAGTGCCATGGGGTCCAGCTGGAGAGGGCAGGGGCTCCCTGAGTGGAGCCTCGTAGGGCAAGCTTAGATACTCAGGTTTGATTCAAAGTGAGGTGAGAAGCCACTGAACAGTTTATAAGGGGTAACACTGTATCTATTGCTTCAATTCCATTTTTAACCAAATCCTGATTAATTTACAACCTTCTCAAAGGCCAAATAATAGAATGAAGGAAAAACACTCAAATGTTGACGGTGTTATTTTTGGAAGGTGGGTTTTTAGTATCTTCCTGATATTTTTAATATTTTACTGACTTAAAACACATTTACTGCTTTTAAAATTAGGAAAAAGCCCCCACGTTCTTAGATCAAAAAAAGGGGGAGCCAAATTTCCTTTGCTAATGATACGTGTTTGTATGTCATAGAGGTTCTAAAACCATTTAGTGAAATTTAAAGCACAGTGGTTCTAAAATCAATTGTCAGTGGGTAAAACATGGTTTTGTCTTTTCACTCTTTTGGTAAGGGAGAGATTTTTCAAAGGAGACTTTATTTATCAAAATCATCATCATTGACATGTTTCTGTTGAGCACCTGGTGTCCAGGATGCTGCTCCGAAGGCTAACGGATGTTCTTGGTTCAAATAGTAAGCATGCCTTCGTTTTGTGCCTTTTTGTCTGATTACAGCTTGCTCCTGAAGCCAACCCTATTCTAGAAATAATTTATTAAGAGGGTCCTGGGCTCAACAAGTATTTTGGAAAAAAGGAAGAGGGGAGATAAAGCAGTGCCTTCCTCTTTCAGTTTCCAGCCTTTGAGCCTTCAACCCAGCCAGGAGCTAGGTATGTTTTCATGTCTTTGTGGAGAAGGCTCACCTCACCCTTAATGAAAAGTGGGTCAGCTTTTCTTCACCCTCCCTAACAGGTTATTCAAATGTGCTGCGTGCATTAATGAACCTTACCATTCCAAATTAGCGGTCTGCTGGAAATGAGGACACCTTTGATTCAAAATGTAAATATATACATTTCCCAGCCTACCTAAAAATGGCAGCTTTATTATACAAGATCCTGCGGCGCTATTTAGAGAGTTTAGAGATGCACTCCCAGAGCTTGAAGGACTTTTCGTCTCAAAAAAAGGAACATAAAACTAAGAAACAGAAAAACTTCCAGAAGTCTTGGTAGTATGTTAAAAAAAAAAATTGTCACAAGGTCTGAGTCAAAAGTTGAAAAACCTGCTACTCATCTTTGTCAGGCTGAAACTTTAGGAAGCCTGTATATGTGTAATTGTATACACTCATGGGTATGTGGTCAGCTTTTTTCCCGTTGTGAGGGAAGAGTGTGGGGATAGTAGTGGGGGGGGCAGACAAGGGGGCAGGGTGGGGGGGGCAAGCCGGCAGAGCTTGGACCCCCTCCCCTTGCTCTTTCACCAGAACAAGTCTCCTTTTTTGTGTTTTGGATATTGCTGCTGTGCTTGAGGTCTCATTTCTGAGAGGGCTTCTCAGCTTAAAAGTTTTCAAAGTTAGAAGACCCATTGCGATATATGTGACACCAGAGGCTGTTGGGTACTGCATTTCGGCCGTGCTCTAGGCACTGGGATGAGCATCCTACCTATTCCATTCAGATAATCCCCCAAAAGGCCACATGAAGTAGGTCTTCCTGTTGCCATTTTTTTTTTTACAGAAGAGGAATCCAAGGTTCTGAACAGATGAGTACTTTGTATCACATGCGGAGATACTGAGTAGCGGGCCAGGATTCAAGCTCATTTGTCTGCTCCAAAGCCCATCCTTCAACCACAGTGCTGTTCTGGATCTGGGCTTAAGGCTCAAAGTCCATATATTCGCAGACACTTAAACTGCAGGCCTGTACTCTAGAACACAGACACGTAAGTACAGTGAAATTTATGAAGGTGTGTTTTAGCGGTGCACACTGCCCAGAGGTCACTTTGGTGAGGGAGGTCGTAGCGGTTTGGGAAAGAAGCCTTGGTCACAAAGGACAGAGCAATGGTCCCAGACGGAGAGAACAGTGCAAAGGCTCCCTGCAGAGGGTTGTTTCTTTGGGTCGAAGCTGCCTGGGACAGGGAGCGACCTTTCCTTGGCCTCCCCTGTCCAAATCTTCATTAAAGAATATTTTGAAGCTTAACAATGAAGAAGAGTAAAGGGGGAAATACTGCTGAGATTTTAGGGGTGGCATGGGCCCTGTGGGGGGTCCGCAGGAACAGGAGAGACGGTCATTCTGGGGGAAAACCACTGACCAAGAGAAAGAGAACACATGCAGAGACGCCAGGAAAGCCTGTCGGTGAGGACGGACTCCTGCATGCCCGACTCGCAGTGGCATGATTGCTGCTCTGCATGAGGCTATGCAGATGAACCCCCTCCTCTGGGAGAGGAGAACTGAGGGTGCCCCTCTTCTTTAAATGGTAAAGTTCTTCAGGTTTTTTTTTTTTTTGAACCATTTTTCTCTTTCAGGAAGTTGTCAAAATATGTTTTTTAACTTTAAAGAAAAACAGGACTGAAATGTGTCAAATCCCTGGAAGTAGTCTGAAATCCAGTTGAGTTTACACAGAAACACACACAGCCCCCCCAAAATCCTAAGATCATCTGGCCCCAGAGATCTCAGTTTCTCTGATAACACTCCCGGAACTGTGGGAGGATTAAGTCGTGTAATCAAATCGAAATCAGCCAGGAGAACGAACAAGCACAGACAGCTTTCAAAACAATACACATCTCCCAGTTCCTGTTGCACCGAATTGCAGGGCCTGGGCCACCTCCCAAGGATCATGGGCCACTCAAGAAGAGACTCCGGAAAAAAGATTTGTTCCTGAAATGCTAATTGCAAACCAAACTGTGTTGAAGAGGCCCTAAGCCTGGGGGACGGGGCTGGGGGGGGTCTTTAATGGGGACCCAAGGCAC